CTGGCCCCCCCGGATACTACGTGCCTGCACGCGGTAACAAATACACGTTTGACGGCGATTAAAATCATGTTATTAAAATGTCGATTTAAACATAGGTATGTGCAGAAAAAAATGTTTTTATTTATTTATTTATTAATTAATTATTTTATTTATTTATTTCAGAAGTAGTTTTATCTTCTAAAGTCTACATTACTTTATTAGTTAAAAGAATAAGCTTAATTATTTACTTTATAAGATTAATTTATTTTTTAACTACACGCGGAAACAAATACACGTTTGACGGCGATTAAAATCATGTTATTAAAATATGGATTAAAACATACGTATGTGTAGAATTTTTTTTTATTATTTATTTATCTATTTATTTCTCTTTTGTTTATCTATTGTTTATTTATATTTATTTTTGACATATGAATTATAGAATAAAAGAATAATTTCAATACAAGGAAAAGACCGAAGGCATTCCGAATAAATCGTTCATCTTGCGTTCACCGTTCGTTCACCGTTCACTTTGCGCTCGCGTTCGCGCTCCGTTCGCGTTCTGCGTTCACTCACCGTTCACCGTTCACACATCGTTCAGCAAGTTGCGTTCACCGTTCGCACATCGTTCACTCACCGTTCGCTCTGCGTTCGTTCACCGTTCGTTCAGCGTTCGTTCAGCGTTCGTTCACCGTTCAGGTGGGAAAGTAGAACGTTTCAGGGACTGTACATGAGATTATCGATTGTTTTCAAGTATATTATGTGGGTATACTTAAATGAAATCTTTTGATATCTGTAGTTTATACAATAAACCTTTGGAATATCACCCATTTTTTTCGCGTTTTCGATCGTTAAAGCTGAAAAGGGCAGTTGACAAAAATTCAATTGCGCTTACTAACAATGCCTTATGAGATTTTCCCGGTAAAATGTTGTTACACACTTAGTTCAAGGTCATAACGTTCAGAATATTCACCAATCAAAACATCGGAGAAGGTAGGGAAGGTGTCAAGAAGCGTAATGTTACATGATGTGCATCGGGGTTAAAATTCATTGTGTTTACAAACTTATGCTATTACAAATTACAAATGTGCAATATCAAATTTCCTGGCAAAGCCGAGGTTTGATGAAGGCAACAGTATCTCTCTCTTTTTACAGATCAAGACTTTTATTTTCATTGTGCATGATGTGTATCACATGAAATTTTTTTATCATTTGCTGATAAGTGTAAGCTTTTAGAAATAAGAATTCGATAGTATGGGTAGAAAAGACCAGAACTAGGGGGCGGAGGCGAAAAATATCATTTTACATGTAGATTTGATACTGAAAGGCAAATCCCGCGACAGGCTAGTAACATTTTGAAAATTCCAAAATACATGTATACTGTTATCGACTTAGCGCGAAATTCCTTTTGGTAATGGGTTAGCGGAAATCTACCGTTCAACAGACGAAGATTATTGGACTTACAAATCTCTGTTAATATTTTCTCATGGTAATTTGAAGTTTTATGTAATTGGCGATTAACAAGAAAATGATCCCCAACATATGAATTAGGGAGGGGACCGTCAGAGAAAGATTCACGTAAACTGACCTGAGTAATAAAGTCCAATAAGTTTCCAGTTCTTGCATTAAATTCACCTCATATAATTGTCTCTCCATCTTTTAAAAAGTTTGAAATTTCATTCTCAAGTTCTAGAAGGTTTTGTTCAGATGCCTTTTTTGTCAATGTACGGTTTCATGTAATAGAAACAGCAGTAAAGATGTTTATAAAGTGGTAGTCCTATTGCTTTATTAATTTTTAACCTAGCAGAAAATTCATTTTCTTTAACAATCTTGACAAAGTTGCTTACAAAGGGTTTCTAATACAATAATAATCCACCAGAACTTCTACCTCTTTTTAAAATTCTTTTAGAGCAAAACATAATAGGTTGCATGTATCCTGGGAGATATCCTCGAGATTCTTTGTTCATTGTTTCCACACAAAACAAACTAAATCATATTGCAAATGGAGTGATTCAAAAAATTCATCATCTAATTTGTTAGAATTTAACCCATGGACATTCCAAAATCCAATATTCAACATGAAAATAAGTACATAGCCTTTAAAAAACAACTAGTCTACAGTGAGCATTTACAATTAGGATGCAAAATTATAAAAATGGTACCATAGTACATTAATGTTTAGTACCATAGTGATTAATAGACAACAGTAATTGATAATTACACTTTATACTAACATGTAAATATCTTTAAAAAGAACATATATATATACAGATGCATGCTCATTCAAAAACCTTGAACAAGTAGCAATAAAATTTTATCTGCATGTAAATGATTCATTATTGAGATAAAATTCATCGTATGACAATCAATGCTAGCATTAAATTCTATTAATTATTCAGAATTGTAGTGTTACAACACGATGTGATGAGCATGTCCATGTTGTTTTAATAAAAGTGTTTAGTACTGAACGAGTTCCAACAGTCTTTGTATTACATCAGAAAGGTCTTGATGTCTTGCAGTCTTTCTGTTGTACGGTTGGTTCCACTTTGATTCTAGCCTGTTGCATGGTCTGATGCACGTATTAAATGCATTTCTATTTCCGTCATACTGGGGGCCATTAGTAGATGTTTCAGCTTTGTGACACGTAATTTTGTCATACTTTTAACCCCTTTCGATGGGCCGAGATTAGTAAATTTGCGAGCCCTATACTGGTTTGGTGTGAAGCGTCTGTCTTCTTGGGGGAATCCTCTTTGTACATTTTGTATGGTTTTAGAAATATTCTCTCATTCAAGTGGTGTTTTAGTGCTCTAGCTAAAGCTTTCCCATCATCGTTATTGAAGTGTATACCATCACCAGCACACAAAGACTCATTTTTCACATTAAGTTCTTCATCTCCTGAAATGCATTGGACATTCTCCATTTGTTTGATTAATTCCTGCAGTCTAACATTGAAAAGGCATACATTGTGATTGTATCTGCTTTCACCCAATCGTTGAAATAATGAGAAAACGTTGATTTCATCTGCTTTTCCATGTGCAATTTTTAAGAGTTGATGCATATCTGATAACACTTCTTCTGGATCTTTGTTTGAAATGTCATTATTACCGACTCCAAGAATTATATGGTTAGTTGGTGATAACGACAGGATGAATTCCTCTGCTCCTTGCTCTGATTCTTTCTTGGGCCTAAAACCTTCACATGAACATTCTGATTTCTGTAGATTATCTTCCCATCCAAGTAGTTTCCATGAGAATCCAGAACAATATCAATGTTTTTATTTCTGCTTCGGATTTTTAACAAGTATGCGGTTTTCAAATTTCTCACTGCCAATGTGATCAATGATAATTTGGAATCTGTTTTGAGTTGAGATTGCGATGTCTTCACTTTGAGATTCATGCACAATGGGGTTATCCCTTGGTTTTGCAGAGAAGATGGAACAATGATTTTCCTGTTCCTGACGAATTTTATTGTCTCTTTTCAATTTGTCAATTTCTTCAGTGTTCCAAACGTAACACACAGTTTCAGCTGAGCGATTTCTGTTTTTAACTTCCCAATCTCATTATAGTTTTCATTTTGAAGACCACCGCTGCGGTAATTCTTGCTCTCTAATTCAGACAAAATTTTGCACATCACCGACTCTATTTTTTGTAAACTTTTCTGGGGAGCTTCTACCTCTATTTTACATTTGCATCCAATCAAGTGTGTGTCTGTGGATGGATTAAAGGGTACTTGTTTGACCACTTTTTCAGCTATTTTTCCTTGTGTTTTGAACTCTTCTGTGTCGGAGTGAACGGTCTTCAGGTCTGTAATGCCGTCATACAATGTAAGCTGGTTTTCAGACATGACAATTGCTTCAGAATGTTCGGGTATTAAACTTTCAGCTGCATTTATTATTTCCAGAAGATAAAAATAACTCATTTCCTCCCCATGATGGACAGTGAAGACCTTTTGCCGTGATTACATGTGTATTGATGTAGATGTTGATGGTTATAATTTTTTGTTCCTCATCAGTTTCACAGTCAGACAACTTATTGTTCTTTCACGTGAACTGAATCGAGATTTTCTCACTTTTGCCATCAAAAGGTTTATCTAACCATAAACAGTTCAAATCGTTGTTTAGGCATCTCTTATATCTGTAAGAAATGGCTTTGATCCACAAGTCTTTCGTCCGAATTTACTCTGTAGCTTATCATATACGCCTGTGGTTCGTCAATTCTTTCAATACTAGATATTTAGAACGCTGATGCGCTCAGAAGAATCCATGCAAACAGTGTGGGAATGATTCTTAAATAAACAAGGTGGCGTAAATCTGAATCTGTAGTTCTGTCAAATGCACATATCTCTCAGAATTTTAATTGCAATGTTTATTTTTTGTTGTTCAATGGAGCTAAAAATGTATAGGTGCTCCGCAATAGGATGTGTAAACAATTTCATATCCCCTACATTTCTTGTGTCAAATATCCCCATTAGTATTTGATCAATGTATAATACTTAGATATCTATAAAATTCACAAACTTTCTTTCCATTGAAATAAATGTAAAGAAGTATAACAACCTTTCAAGCAAGCCTACCTAAGCAACACTACCAACCCTCCAAACAAGCCTCCATTTTATTTCTTTATATGGATCAGTTTTGCTTGTCCCTCACAAAGTAATGCCTTGATAAACTCATACAAAAAAATGTGTTTTGCATCCTTACCTATTAAACAACAGGCATTATTCATTTTCACCGCCTAGAGAATTTCAAAGGGAAGGGAGATCAATCTCAATTACTGTTTTATTAGTGTAAAAAACGATTGAACTAAACTTTTTTTCTCTTTAGTACATGCAACCCTGTCATGCCAATGACCTGAACAAGGTGCAAAATTAATAAGGAATCGAGGACCCTCTGATTACAAATAATAAAGTAATCCGAGATATATGTTTGTAACCTAAAACCATGTGTAATATGAAAGAGTATAAATCTCATAATCATGAAACATTCAATAGGTTAAGTAAAAAAGCGTTTTACTTGCAGATAAATCCAGCTGTGTATGAAGTCATCACTTTTGCTAATGGCAAAATTCTACACGAAGCTACGTTCGTGTAGATCGCAAAGTACCCGTAAGTGCAAACATTTTAAGTATGTTTTCTTATTTGCTGTTTATTTCAATCACATCGGGTGTTATAAATCTTAAAAAATGTAATAATAGTATTAATAACTTCTTATGTCAGAATATTTGTTGATATGATCATGATGATACAACATCTTTTTTTTATTCAGCGTTAAATACTGTGACTTCGACTCTCAATCATGTATTACCGAATAAAAGGAAAAGAATCCCTCTTTGATAATTAAATTCACTACGTTTTTGGTAAAGACCAAACAACATTTAACTCTTTGTATTTAAAGCATTTATATTACAAGTACCTGGGCAACCTTAAATTGCTAAAACAAAAAGGTGATCTGTTAAGGCGTACGTGTAATTCTAATGTACAACGTACAGGTATATGCACACGTTCACGTCGGTCTCCAAAATCTCCCTATATCATTATCAAATAGTAAAGGTACTTGGACACAGATTTGAAGTAACTATTTTCTGAACAATATCACGAATAATATATTTTAATAGCATTTTACACAAAAATTAATTAAAAATCTTATTTCATTTAAAAGTTATTAAAACTTCAAATATTTTGGCGGGTTTGATAAAGTGGTAATTTTGTTGTGTATTAATGAGAAATATTGAAACTTTTAAAATCATTAAAACGTTTTTGATTTTATGATAAATTGAATCTCTTAAAGAAAGGTTCAATAAAAATGTCATGAAGGAAAACGTAATTAACATAGGCTCTTGAAAATTAAAACTTAAGAATTTGAGAATATATCCATTATTTTTGCTATGTTTTCATATTCATCCTTTGCGGCTGTCATATTTTGTAATACTCTATAAATACAGGCATTTTTGGCAGTTTGAGATGCCCCCTCTGGTAAGAAGAGGGTAGAATTTGTGTTTCTTACACACATTTATATTGTATAATATACTAGGGTTATCCCGTTAAATCGTGGACAAGTTGTCTAGTTTGAAAAATAATCATCACTATGTTCTGAAAGTTTCACTACTTTCTAGTACATATATTATAAATATACATAGGAAATTTCAAATAGATATATGCTTAAATAAATAAATATTTTATGTTATGTACTGTAGCGCCCGACAGCGCAGGGATGATAACGTCGACATGTCTAAAACCGCGTCACGCTCCATGTTTGCTAAAATAAAGTTGGATAAGCCCCACTTAAATTTAGAAATTTTATTGATTTACATACGTGAGTGTTTATTACCAGTTAAGGAACCATTGTGGCACTCTCATGCCATCTTCTGAATATTTATGAGCAAGTAACGGACAGTATTCTCACCATCAGTCAACTAAGTGAGAATCTCATATCGACGGTCGATAGTGACAGCGTTTTTTACTATTACAATGGCAGTCTGTCCGCATGTTTTGTACTGTCTGGGGACTCAATCAAGAAGACTTCGCTGAGGAAACGTCCATTTTATTTGTATACAAAAATCTGGTGTTATTTTTCATATTGTTGTTCTTCCGTATCCATTTAAAGTCTTTTTAAGTGTCATTAAAACATCTTAATCTAACTGAACTGCTCTCCGGTGCGCCGTAACATCATGAAACGTCGCCATTTTCCGTGTATTGTGTATCCAACTTTTCCATATCAAATGCTCTGGAAACAAAATTTAACCAAATGCCTTGAAATTTTCTAAATGACGATAGAATTGATTAAAGAATCGAATTAGGATAATTTTCATCCTAATCTTATGTATTGAAAACTTTTTTTTACGAATCGTAGGACCGTACCCTGTGCACCTTCAAGCAGAATAAAATCGTTATATATATATATATATATATATATATATATATATATATATATATATATATATATATATATATATATATATATATATATATATATATATATATATATATATATATATATATATATATATATATATATATATATATATATATATATATATATATATATATATATATATATATATATATATATATATATATATATATATATATATATATATATATATATATATATATATATATATATATATATATATATATATATATATATATATATATATATATATATATATATATATATATATATATATATATATATATATATATATATATATATATATATATATATATATATATATATATATATATATATATATATATATATATATATATATATATATATATATATATATATATATATATATATATATATATATATATATATATATATATATATATATATATATATATATATATATATATATATATATATATATATATATATATATATATATATATATATATATATATATATATATATATATATATATATATATATATATATATATATAAAGCACTAAAAAACCAACAACACTGTATATCCTAAATGTCGGATCTACCAAGTAGATACAAGGTCACGGATGGAAATTTATATAAAGCACTAAAAATGACCAACGACACGAACAATAAAAATTGTCAAATTTTCGGGACGCCCTGTCCCTTCCTCAGGACAAAGAAAAAAGTTAAAAAGTCATAAGAACAAAGGAAAAAGAGAAACAAAAACAACTAGCACTACTACTAAACTACTAAACACTAGATATTTACATACTTAATTACATGATGAATTGGAAATTTTTAAGAACACTAATAAAGAAAGAAATCCGGACCGCTATGAAATGCGTCCGGTCTATCGGGTATACTCGAGTATATATATATATATATATATATATATATATATATATATATATATATATATATATATATATATATATTATCAAAACATTATGATACACTTAAATATGATGAATAAACATTTACTGAAAATTTCAGCTTAGTGCGCCCATTACTTTTCAAGAAAAACACTTTGTCCACGATTTTACGGGACAACCCTCGTAGTATTACTGATCTAATATCATAGTTTGAACAAAAAGTCTATTCTAGCATTTGTATTATTTGCTTCAAAGTGCTAAAAATTGGCATTCTTCTATATAATCCTATAGTAAATGTACCTGTATTTCGAGACGGTCCCTCAAAAATATATGGACGGTAGATTTTCCTTAAACTTGTACATGAACACTAAAGTAAATGTAAGTTATATATGGTATAAAAATGAAGAGTTTCATTATTATAGTTTTCACACACTAAAGCCTCAGTCGGCCCCCTTAAATAATAAGATAATTAAAGGCTTTAGAGATGACAAAAAGATGGATCTTTTAGCAGGGCAACAATGCCTCCCTATAGAAGTTTTATTCCTTGGAGAATGTGGTGCTGGAAAAAGTTCTACAATAAACAACATTCTGGGAATGAAAGCAAGTAAAGAAGGCAAAACGTTTTGTCGTGACGGGATGACAAAGGATATAATTCCTTGTTATGGAAAATGCCCACCAGGTCTCATGCCAGTACATGCATCAGGTAGTATCGGAGAGAGAGAGAGAGAGAGAGAGAGAGAGAGAGAGAGAGAGAGAGAGAGAGAATTATTCCAAACTTAAATAAAAGTATGTTGATTTTTTTAGACGCAGATCAGAAAAGAAATAATCCAGAAAACGATAACTACAAGGAAGGTAAAGAAGAGTCTTCTGTGAATAAAAACTCAATCATTCTATATGACACACCAGTTTTTTGCAAAGTTCTTCCTTTAATTCAAAAAGAAAGGAAAAAGTTCCACGCTGTAGCTCTTGTGTTTCCAATGACAAGATATACAGAAGACAGAAAAAAATTTTTACAAAATGTTTACGACGCTTTTGGTCAGAAGCTTTTTAAACATGTCATCATAATTTTCACAAAACCCGAAGATCTTGAGAAAGATGTAGAAGATGAGATTGCTGATGTTGCAAATGAAGACAAATTATTCGAAAAATATTTATCGGAATCAGGAAACAGATACATTGTGTGGTTTAGAGATCAAGACAAAAGAAAGGAATTGCTAGAGGATTTTTATAAGAAATTGAAAGATGTGCTCAGTCAGGAAAACAGACTAATAACCACGAAAAAAAAATCTCGCGTGTGTTTATTTGTAGTTACCTGTACTCTTTCACTTCTTTTTTCTTGTTCTATCTTTCTTTTGTTATATTTCTATATGTAATGGATATATTATTTCTTTGCTTTCTCAGACATTACCACTTCCTTTTTTTGAGCTTGAATTGAGGTGTAATACTGCTGGAAAAAAGGCAAAACTATTTGGTCAGGAATAGGAAATTTTGAACGCTTCAATCAGAAATATTAGTTCTTAAACATTGTATTGTAAAGAAAAATTTTTCATAGTTTCTTGTCATCTGTTTTACAATGATTTTTTTTATCGTAGGTTTATTGATGTGACAAATCAGTTATGATATATATTATGACCCGGTCCAAACAAGACAGAATGTACTTTTCTCATGTAAATTTATAATACAGTGTATTAACCTCTTTGCTCTGATAAAATAATGTGATTTATTCCAAAAATATATTTACATGTGCTTTTTAAGGAATGAATCTAATTCATGGCAAACGTATTCGAGTATTACCTGGTTTGGGTCAGTTTACAATTTATAATCCGCGAAGCGGGGCCATGGATTGGAGTCATTTATTAAACATGTGTAATTTATTTTAAAATCATTAAACAACTGTGGGTGTAAATTTCGTTGCTTTTTATTTGTTCAAATTTGCCATTTAATAATTCAACCGTAGTAACAGAAGTGATGAAAAGCAACGGGAGGTAATAACTGATGCATAGACTTAGCAACCATGGTATATTTGTTTACATGTAATTAGATCGAGTCACTGTCTGAGGTTTATTGATTGAATGATTGAATATTGTTTAACGTCCCTCTCCAGAATATTTCACTGATATGGAGACATCACCATTGCCGGTGAAGGGCTGCAAATTTAGGCCTATGCTCGGCACTCAGGGCCTTTGAGCAGGGAGGGATCTTTATCGTGCCACACCTGCTGTGACATTGGGCCTCGGTTTATACGGTCTCATCCGAAGGACCGCCCCATTTAGTCGCCTTTTACGACAAGCAAGGGGGTACTAAGGACCTATTCTAACCCGGATCCCCGCGGGGCCTGTCTGAGGTTTAAAGTACATTTATTAAATTTGTTATTTTCCATGAAATCTGAGGATTAATTGCATGGGAATAGATGATTCAGTTTGTTGTCAAGGGGATGTGTACCCAAGCCAAACCAGGTTATACACAATACATGTAATTGCGTTCCTTTGGATATTAACCAACCATAGGCTAAAATATAAACAAAATTAAAGAAGAAGTATAATTTAATACAAGTCTTGTCTTGTAATTAACTTAAGAATGAAAATGATGTGAAAAATGAAATGTATCCTGAATCATTGGAATTCTATGCATAAAAACTATATAACTCATTTTTCTCACATGCATTTCTAAATTCGAATTGTGACGTCATAAATATGTGTATTTTCACGTAATACTATTTTCTTAAAATGTTGTAGAAGACACTAATTTTCAATGAAATTTTCTTTCAGAAAAAATGTTCAAAGGCATCACCAACAAAATTTTTGAGATATGTGATTTTTTTATTGTATTTTGCACAACGTATCAAAAAATTAAAGTAGGGGAAAGCTGTGGACACTATTTGCTAAAGGAAAATTCCCCTTGAAATCGGTCATTTTGATACTCTTTCTGTTTGAAATAGAGAAATGAATCAATTTAATAATGATATATTCCAAAATGGTAAAACTCAAGAATTCTAAAGGGTGTTAAGAAACTTCGTTCCACAAATTTCTTTTATTTTCGAAAAGAAATGAAATGAGTGGATATTTACAATTTGTAATATTTCATGTTTACAGAGTCCATTATTGCTGCCAATAAGGTTTTGAATATCTTTTGTTAGATTAATAGGGAGAGGGCATGTATTAAAACAGATGATAACTTTTCAGAAAAAAATTGGGATGACGCATATTTGTGACATATATTATGCACAGATGTCAATAAATCCTTTCAGAATACTTTTCTTTCTTTCCTAACGTTAGCACAGTGACTATGCAAAAATTATCAAATTTGTGAAAAATTTCAAAATGACAAACCTATTTTTTTAAAATGATCTATCATTCCTTTACCTACGATCATCAGCTTGTCTGATGCCAGATAAGCTATGAAGAAACAAAAGTAAATTATCCTTTATTCTCAGTCAAAATGACCAACATTTTTATCATAAGAGTGCTTTAAAGATGTTCTACATATTTTCATTTAGAAGAAATATTCTATAATTTTTCGCTAGAAATGAATTGCTATAAATCTATAGCACATTCTTTTGATTTTGTCAGACTTAACAAATCATCTCTTTCTTTAAGCACTACTTCGAAATTTTTGAAAGTTGTTCATTATGGAACGAAGACAGAAAAGATTTTTTTACAAAATGTTTACAACGCTTTTGGTCAGAAGCTTTTTAAACGTGTCACCATAATTTTCACAAAACCCGAAGATCTTGAGAAATTTGAGGGAGATAGGATTGCTTATGTTGCAAATGAAGACAAATTATTCGAAAAATATTTACCGGAATCAGGAAACAGATACATTGTGTGGTTTAGATATCCAGATAAAAAATGATTTGCGGGAGGCTTTTTATGAGAAGTTGAAAAACGTGCGCTGTCAAGAAATTAGACCAATAATCACCAAAGGAAATCTCGAATGCGGGTACGGGGGTTATTTTTTTTTTAAATTTATTTCTATAGCATTCATTCTTTTGATATGTTTCCCATGTCAAATTTGCAGCTTATATTGCTTTAATTAATAGTTGTGATTAAACCTTATCTTTAAACGTAAGGATGTGTGTTACACACAAATAAACCCTTATTGAACCTACATCAAAAGAACAACCATCAAATTCTAACAAAATATTTAATAAGTCAAAGGACGAATAAACAGAAAGAAACACGCACGCTAACCCTCGATTCCCGCCTACATTTTGGAACCATCTAATTCAATATGAATAGCAATTTGGTAATAAAATCTTTGTTTAATACAAAGAACAGTTCAATGGTAATTGATAAATTGTCTTAATACCAGCCCTAAACAGTAAATTTTCCATAATTCCAGCTCTTGAAAAAAAGGGGGTAGACGATATTTTTCATTGAAATCGGAGTTTCAAGGATAACTGTATTTTGATATACTCTAGGATATGATTAAATGTTCCTTATATATTTTCTTATGTTTTAGGCAAATATATAAAACATAAATATTTCAATGAAATATAATGTTTCAGTTGTATATCGCTTAAAAATTGGTGGAAAATAAGTATTTTTATCGTTTTTTGTCAATAAACATACGTCCCCCCCCCCCGTGTCACACAAAAAGCTATGGTATGAATTTGTGAAATACGACTCCATATTACCTGTTAAAGGGAATTTTTGTGACACGGGGGGGGGGGGGGGGAAGATGTTTTAAAAATATTTTCCGTTTTCCGTTGATTTCTATAGTGAAAAACACAAGTTTTACCAAAATTTTAGAGTTATCTCTCTTTGTTTTCCCAAATAAATAATGTTTTACGAAAATTTATATAATTATATATAAAAAATATTGAAAATTCATCAAATATGTTAACATTTAAAAATTGACTTGGAGGTAGGCGGGAGAACAATGCTATCGTTCGCAGTTCTTTCAACAAAGAACATTACCTATTTTCATTGGAGGAGACATCATCATAGCACAAGTTTAGAAAAGCTGATAATTCTTTGACTTTTTTTTCTCTCCTTAGACTTGGAAAATTAAAAAGACTTGAAAACATTACTTAATACTTCAATAGTTATAAATATGGAAAAATCACACTAGTACATCTTTAAAATTGAAAAAAAAATTCAGAATATGTTAGCTCAAAGTAAAATTGATTAAATAAACTTGGGAAAAATATAGCAAACCAGGTAAAGAACTTTATTCGGTAATAACCAATATTTGCCCCCCAAATCAAACTTTGATGGAGGTATATTTTAATTAAGTTCTTAAACAAGGGAGTATATGCTGACTTCGAAGCACTGAATATTTTCCTAAGTAATGACGTCATATGTACGTAATGACGTCACAAACATGACGTAAATTTCAGTTTTTTATGAATTCTACAGAAAAATGTACATATTTCGTCGATATTTTGAGTAAAAGTCACCGAGCGCATGTGTGTTCAGGATCAATATTTTGATATAATGTGAAGAATGATAATATCAATGAAATATGTAAATATTAATCCTGAACAAACATGTGCTCTATAAATTTAAAAGCTAAAACTTGAAATTTTGTCCCTTTTGTCCTCTTTCTGAAAAAATTTCTAAAATTGGACTAGTTTGTGATGTCATAAAAACAAAAATTGTGAATAAACTGCTTTGAAACTATAATATGTTCTGTTAATTTATATTTCTCATACAATTTATTGAATTCAGCACATTTCATGAAGTTTTCAAAATGTAACTTTTGTGGGGGCAAGTATATGCAATATACCGCATATAGTTCTTTTATGGAGATAAGCAAAATCGAAAAAAATCAGCTTTCTTATTTTTCTGAGTTTTTTATCATTTGTTTTTCTTCTTAAAATTCACCGCCCCGAGGGGATCCGGGTTAGAGTAGGTCCTCGGTACCCCCTTACTCGTCGTAAAAGGCGACTAAAAGGGGCAGTCCTTCGGATGAGACCGTATAAGCCGATGCCCTGTGTCACAGCAGGTGTAGCACGATAAAGATCCCTCCCTGCTCAAAGACCGTAAGTGCCGAGCTTAGGCCTTAATTTCAGGCCTTTACCGGCAATGGTGACGTCTCCATATATCAGTGAAATATTCTGTAGAGGAACGTTAAACATTATACAATCAATCAGTCTTAAATTCACCCGTCTTCCAACAGGGCAGATAAGAACCAAAGGTATTTAGGGGGTTCACTCAGGATTCTTATATAAGTAAGAAGAGGAGTGAAACAAGGGTAGCTGAAATAATGTAACCCTTTCCGTTGTTTTTATCTGATATTTTCTGAAAAGGGCTACAATTTCACAGCATCTCCCTAATTGTGCAAACATATTCTTTTAAATACGGGTGACTGCAGGCAGAATAAATTGTTTTTACATTCAACTTACTTCTAATAAGACGACATTTTTATTCACTTTTGACAGCATAGCTTGTTAAACGCGAAAACCATGTAAAATAAATCTGTATATTTACTTGTCGTTTTACTCAGCAGCCATAGCAGTGAGAATTGCGCTTGAAATTTAGAAAAACTCAATAAAGCAAATGTCGATGTTTATAAATAATTGTGTTGAATTTTCTTCTAAAATAAGGTAATTCCAAAGAAATCCACACCCTATAGATCTTTAATCTCATTGACCGTCCCTAAATAAAATATGTCGAAGTCATAAAACATGGCGGACAAATTTTAGTTGAGATGTTGACATATACGAAAAATACGGATATATGGGTTGTTCTGTATATTTTTGGATCGATTTATGTCTGGGATAGCTACATTTTGGAAGTCCAGGGAAGACATATAAAAAAATAACCGTTTACTGACAATTTGAGCCGAAATCCGTGTGGAGTTGCAGTCCTCTCCCCAGAAAGGAGAAGGCTACATTATTGCAGCTAAACCAAGGGGATAACATGTAAGTAAACAAAAAAAAAAAAATAAAGAATTTCAATTTGTTACAATATGTATGTAATCGACGTGTTCATGTTGTTGATATTGTTCTCTTGCATGATATGAACTTCACATGTCTCACGTCTGATCTATCAGATCAAAGATCAAATTGATTGCCTCCAAAACCGTACTCTAAAAATCAGACACCCATTAAATTCCTATCAAAATGCCTGGAATGTACCCCGGTAGAATATGTATCTGCAAAACGAAAAAAAAATGATATAAACTTAAGATCCATCCCATCGACTCCACTTTCTTCTTCTTAACAATCTGGTATAATTAAAGATTACTCAAGAACTAAAATTTACTTAACCCCTTCTCTACCGCATCTATCAATATGACCGATAGCGCGTTAAAACATCGCGATAACAGGACCTCTGTATATTTTTAATAATAGCATTAAGGTATATAAATTATACATCATCTTTTAGGAAATTTTCTCTACTTTCAGACCCTGTAAAAATTTTGAGCCTTATTAATCGGTAATGAATAGATTTTACGTTTTGAAGACATTCATGACTTTTTGAAAATGACGCAATTTTCCAAAGCAAGGAATATCCTGACGATAGGTATATTTTTTCCTGATTAAATCATTTAAACAAAATTAATATATTTAAAAAGGATATTTTCTCTGCTTTTAAAAAATGTAAAAATTATTGATTTTACTTTTAAATATTTTGTAAAAACAAGAATTTTCTTCCACGCATGTGATTTTTCTGGGTTTGATTCGTAATATTTAAATTAAACGCAGTTTTACCTTTATTTCTGTGTTGAAATAAGGAAAACAAAATATAACTGGTTAAAGTAGAGAAAATTTCCATTTCAACAAGCCTTCACTGGTCTCTTTATTTTCGGTATTTTCTTAATTACCATAGTTTGAATTTTGAACCTGCGCGTAATTTTTGTAGAAAATTTGAATGTAGTCAATATTTAACGTCAAGGTCGTTTTCGTTGCGCCTCATTCGGAACAACGTTTAGTACTATTATATTTAATTAAATATTTTTATTTAAATAGATGCATTATTTAAAAAAAAATTGTTTAAAATAACAGTAATTATCTTTACACCTTTAGAGAAATATAGTACATATGTATTTTTGTTTATTTATGCATTGTGCAATAAGTTCATTCAGTGTTGATTAAAAAAATGTTTGATTCCTAAAGGTCTACGTCAAAAAAATCAGATTTATTGCTGTTTGCTTTAAAATATATTCTTAATATAAAATACAATTAAACATATACTGACATGAAATTTAAAAAACTTTGAAACACAATGATTTAATACAAAATCTCGCATTTACACGACTCATTACAGTATGAGTTGATATTATTCGAGATTAACACGTGTTTCCGCTGTAGCAGTAAACAACAACAGCATGGATTTTCATGATTATTTTACGATGGAGAACACGTCAATTCATCAGATATGACGGGTCTTTTCTTTGGCATTAGATGTGAGTCAGTATTGATTGAAAAGTTTAAAAGTATTTTAGAGTACATTGACTGAAATGAAAAGACATCATACAGTTATAGACTACCAAGGACCTATATACGGGTACTAGAGATGTCGGACTATAACAGAGTCGGACCATTACAAAGTCGGACTATTACGGAGTCGGCCTATTGCAGACTCGGCCTATGCATTTAATGACATTTTGCAAAGTAAATGGAAAGAAGAATGTTTATTTTATTTTTAAAATGATTAATTTGGTTTTTAAGTATTATGATAAAAAAATATATATGTATTTTTATTCATTTTTTATTATTTAATTTATACTAAGTAACTTAAATACGAGTTACGAAATATTTATTTAGTCTTTGTTCAACTGCATAAAACCTCATGTTAATGCTTTTTTTGAAAAAAAATATTTACAGATAATGCAATAAATAAAAAAAATGCAAAATTTTATTGTTTAAATTGCTTATTGTCTATTTATGCATACCACGGTTGGTTTACTTGGAATACACAAAGGTGACACACGGAACTCGGGAAGCCATATCTAGAGGTGGGGGGGGGGGTTAGAGAGGATATGCATGTACCGGTGCAAACAAAGGGGTACTAGTGTCTCTTTGACACTAGTAGACTCAAAAACACTTATATAATTTTTTTAATTGATGTTTTATTAATTGGTAATCACATTTACTCAAATGAATGTATATATAACCTATTAACCTATAAAACTGGAATTTTCGATTTCTTCAAAAAATTAATGAATATAAATCGTTTGCGTTTATAACAAACTTTAAATATATATTTCTCTTCATATTTGTATATTCTCGGTCGACAAAAAGAATAGTATGACCATTTTTATAGGAAAGAAATCTTTAAACCACATCAACACAATTAAACATATTTATCTGGAATAAGATTTTTTTTTTGATACAACTGAAAAAATATCCTAATTATAATTCCATGCATAATATATATATATTAAATATAAATATTAATCAATTTATTCGTTAAACTAAATAAATTTATGCTATATATCTTAAATTTTTAGCGGTAGGCCGAGTCTGTTATAGTCCGAGTCTGTGTAGGCCGACTCCGTAATAGTCCGACTTAGTCATAGTCCGAGTTTGTTATGGGATGAGATCTCACGTAATCCCTATATACTATAGCAGTAGACTGGACCCTGGCTACACATGTACATGTGATATGTAGCCGTTCGCTGGTTTGACATCGTCGGTAACCCAAAAATGATACTTTTCGGCTCTTTCAACGATTACAAAAACTTTTTTTTCCGATGACAAAATTGTTTACAATACAATGTCACTGTTTTCTCAATATGGAATCTGAATACTGTGTTGACTGATCAATAAAATATTTTTGTTCGATGTACTCCGTCCCCTCCGATCCACATTTTCAAGATGGGTAGGTAGGTGGTTCAATTTTCGTGTGGTTTACACTGCTGAAGAATTGATAACTGTCATAAAATCACAGATTTCTTTGCATTACACATTTGACATGTTTGTTAGCTACACAAGTTTATTGTTATAAAAACTTTCAGTCAAAAAGCATCCTATAGAAATTATACATCTTTGCTTTAAAATGAAACAATTTTAGTAAATTTAAAAAGAGTTCTTAAAATGAAAGAAATAACAAAGAAGCGTAAGGAAGAAGAGGAACAACGCCAGGCAGAGGCTCGGAAACAGAAAAATAAAAGTTTACAGTGCTGAAAAAATTATTGGCATGGATAAAATATGATTGCTTTTCATTGTGTTGAACTGTTACCAATCAGTTATCCTGTTGGCCATAACTGACCTCCTTTATAATTTCATTCAAGAAATAACTGTGTGGTCACTCATCAATAGCCCCCAAACTTTAAAAAAATTGAGTATAAAGTCTCTCAAGGAGACACAATTTGGTGAGTGATTTTTACATGCATTGTATTCAGAAGAGTTCAAAGTTTAATATTTCCACTGCAACAAGGTGCGACTTTTTGCACATGCTAAAAAAATAAAACATTTGAGAAAAAATTGTGATTAAAAAGCTTAATTAAGCTATTCAGAATAGCATTCTAAGTACATTCAAAGAAAAATGAAACATGACATAATTAACACAAACACATAAATTTTTTTTAGCACGTGTAGTGTGCTGGTACCATTTAGGCTTCAGAACTTTCTTCTATGAAGACCCACTTGCTAATCCCACCAATGGCCACCATGCACAGAAAAGACCATGATGTGGAGGACATAGGTGCTTAGTTATTAGTAAGTCAATTTGATTGCAGTCAAAATTCCTCATTGTCACTGGACGGCTATTAGTCAACACTCCCAGGTACATGAGTAGCCGGACTGGCGCATTGGTTAGAGCCTCTGCCCTATAGTCACGAAGTAAGGAATTGATCCTTACATTGCATGTTCGAATCTTACTATGAGACATGGAGACCTGTTCTTCTGATGAGACACTATAAAAATATCTTATATTATACTTATACTTATATAACCCAATTAAGGTCCCTTGTCGCAGTAGGTGCTTACATGAAAAAGATCCCTCACAGCTCAATAGCTGTAAGTGCCGAGTATAGAACAAAATGTGCATCTGTCCACCGACAAGTGGTGGCGTCTCCATTTGAGAGAGAAATTCTTGAGAGAGACATTTAATAACATACAAACAAGCCCACATATATAAACACCTTGTCCCAGGGATTTTTCTCTGAAGTAATAGTTTTCAGTCCAACATGCCCTTTCTCTTAACAACCCTTGACAACAGAAACTAAAAAAGGATACTTCATGCATTTGATAAAATTAATGGTTAATTATGCTATTTTTTAAAATTTATAATTGATTAACCTTGATTGTTTAGTATAAGGCTTGCAATATTTCAGTCATAATACATTGACTTCCCCAAACCATTTAACTACAAGTATGACAAAATATGACATATATAATATAATATATATGATATGCTTTATAAAGACTTTTTAACAATATTATAAAACGAAAATTATATCAATGTGCCAATTGTAGATTTCTGTATAAACTGAATTATCTGATTAAAACTACATATTCGATTAGAAAAGCTTTTTCAAAACTTTTTTTTTTAAATTTGTTACAGGAGTCGGGACAGAATACATTTAGAAACTGATCATGCCTAAGTCAAATCAAAGGAGTTCCCTCGGTCTTTCAGAGAGATGGCAGAGAGTTCATTCAACATGAAGATGATGTGCACATAATGTAATCTGGAATCTAAAGTTAGAGATAAAAACCTGCAAACTTACTAGCAAATAAGCCTATCTGCTTGTTCATCATTCTTTGCGGGATACTTCACTTTTAGGAATGCTCTTTATTTCTATCAATGATGCAAGTGGTTATTCAAGATCATGTCATGTGATATAAGGAATTCTGACTTTTGACAGCATAAGTCAAGGGTTTGTGAGAAGAGTAGCAAATGCTAAAGAAATCCTTGGATACTGAAATTCAGTCATTGTATGCCACATAAACTGGATGAGTGAAAGATTATAGCTGAAGTTCTGTGCTTGTCCATCTTTGCTGTTTTTTCATATGCTTATAAAATGACAAAAGTTGTTTTAACAAGTGACCCAGTAAAGACTTGAAAATGTAAAATAATTCTTGTAAGAAAAGAAAAATTGTAAATGTTTTCTTATACAATGTATTCTAGATGACAAAGAATGTGTTTGACTAAGTTTTTGAAAATGACAAAATAAGTTCTCTTTTGTGTAATTAAAAAATGATACTTGTTGCAATACATTTTTACCTTAATATGATTTTAATAGTATTTGTCACTTAGATTGAAATACTTGAGAACACATCTTACAAATTTTGTTCCAGTTTACTTAAGTCAGAGATATATTTTTTGAATGACAACCAAGATTTGCAAAAAAAGAAAAAACAAAGTAAAACAAAACTATTCACTTTTGTGATATCTCTTTTGATTTTGTTGTTTACAATTTTATGTGTCAGTTATTGGACAATATGTCCATAATAATTGCAGCATTTCAAATTTGATATATACTTACAATTTAAGGCAGATTTCTGAACTGATATGACCTTGACCCCCAAAGAACAGAAATTTCAGGGTCAATACTTAAGACAATTATTTGTTGGATGTTTTATACAATATTTTTGACCTTATATCTTACAAACCATGGAAAACTGTCTAGAATAAGAAGTAAGAAACCTATAAAGCCAAAAAATTGAATATTGTTGTTGCTTAGCAACCATTTAAAGGTCATTTAACACAAATTTGAACAAAAATATGATGCCTTCTAAAGAGTAAATTCAGAATTTTCTTCTTAAGCATCCATTGTTACAAATTTTAGGAAGAAAGATGAAAAGTTTTGGGAAAAATTTCTAAAATTTTGCACTTATTTGACCTTTGTCCTCCAAGAAAAGTGAATCTGATGAGGTCAAACTTTAAGACAATTATCTGATGGATATTATTTCAGTATCATTACCCCACATTTGACTTTACAATGTAATGGAATGCATAAATGTGTGTGGGATGAGTAAAAAAACAAGAAATACTGCCTGAAAATTGAAAAATACTCCGTTGCTTAGCAACCTTTTTAAAGTCATTATTTGCAGTATTGAAAAAAAAGTTTATGTGATTAAGGTAGAACAGGATAATGCCCTTTTGTGGGTTTATTATGAATTTCCTATTTCAATGTGTACAGTACCGACCAGACCCAACCTGACACCCAAGCAGTCCCAGAAAGCAGTCCCTGGGACTGCTTTGGGACCGCTGTGGGACTGCTGAGGGACCGCTGTGGGACTGCTCTGGGACTAAAAAGCAGACCCAGCAGTCCCAGCTCTCCCTGGGACTGCTTTCTGGGACTGCTTTGTTCACTCATGTGTAAAAAAAGGTTCTGAGTGACATGATAGCTCCGCCCCCTTGTGTATTCTGAATTTGCAGGCCCCCTGTTGTTTTGTTTACTTGCAGCAGAGATGAGTTTAAACTGTTTAAAAAGCAAGGATTTCTTACAATCTTTTAAAAAGTAGTAATTATTTTAGTTAATTAATATTTACTCAGACTGTATATTTACACAAATGTAGTTTAGAATCACATTCTTTTAAAAAAAGTTGTAAAATAAGGAAGTCAGGAGTAGATTGATTTTTTTTCTCTAAATATGAGATAAGGTTTATGAGAAAAATTTCAACACGTAGGCCTTTTTATAAAGGGGGTATTAAATGTAAAATTAAATACTAAAATTTTGCATTGGAACTATTTGAAAATAATTATTACAGTTAGATATAAGATTTTTAATAGAAAAAGGAACATGTTTTAACCCTCAAATAGAAAACCTCACACTTTACTAAATGACCATGAAATAAAATTAATTAATTAATGCTACCATTTTCCCGTTACATATACAATGTGTATAATCACTGGGGAAATTATAAATGAATTACCGGTAGTTTTAAATTATGAACAAGTTATTTAAAGAGTACATTAATTTTAAAAATAAACAGTTGAAAATACCGGGAATTGTGATTTATTTATTTTTTTTTTGTTTTGCTTCTGTTTGCCTGGCCGATTAATGTGTATAAAAATGGTACCAACACTCGCGGTTTCAATCGCCTTTGGGCAGAAAATCAATGTATGTTATTTGTGTAAACATGTCAACGTTTCACATCATTGAACACGCTGGTCAGCAATGACCCTAATTTCAATCTATGTAAAGCAAAAATAAAATTAATAAATGAAATATGTATGAATTTATTTCAGGATTAATTAATTTTGAACATAATCTGAGGGTTCCATTCTGGTGATCTACAGATGTACACTCTAACATTTACAAATAAATCACTTAAAACTTAAAGCACAGTATTATAGAGATGGAGAAAATTTAAATAATTAGATTTACATAACAGTAAAAATAATCATGACTGAAAAATAATACTTGGCAAAATTAACAAAGAATTTTTTTAAAGCCCCAATATTAATACTTAAGAAAATTTATTTGAGTATCCCGGTAGTATTGAAATTGGCCATTTAACGATAAGATCTATTTAAAGCTAATTCTGATGAAAAATAAATAATTCACGTTTAATTTTCTGTATAAAAATAAAAATGGGACACAGTATCAATCACAGAAAATAAAGAAATCGAATTATTAATATACCAAATAATTGTGATTAATTATTATTAATAAATATAAATTTTTAATTTTAATAAATTTTAATTTTGGACTGCTCTGGTGTAATATTCATGTTCAGTTTAATTTTATACATGTACATGTGAAAGACTTCTTCCTTCAATTAATATTATTTCAATTTGTTTCAATGCGCGTACTGATCGTAAATGACCATCGCATGTAAGGATTCCAGGCATACTACACAGACTTAATTTCTACAGCCTTTTAAATTAATAGTTCCATTGTTTATTGGAAATCTCATTTCTGAGTTAGCTCCGCCCATTAAAATTAATAAACCCCGCCCTCTGGGACTGCTGGGACTGCTTTCTGGGACTGCTGGGACTGCTCTCTGGGACCGCTGGGACTGCTGGGACCGCTCTGGGACTGCTGTGGGACTGCTCTGGGACCGCTGTGGGATTGCTTTAACAGTCCCAGAAAGCATGCAGTCCCCGGGACTGCTCTGGGACTGCTTTGTGTCAGGTTGGGTTTGGTCGGTACTGTATTACTGTTAATTTTTAACTTGAAAATTAAAATGTGTAAAAAAAATGCAATAAAATTCTGCACTAATTTGACCTTTGACCTCAATTTCCACTAGCAAGGTCAGTCGTGACGTACCTGCACAGTTATGAAATATCATCTCCAGAAAATTCCCTACAAAATGATATACATTATGCCTAGATTACTCTTTGAATAAAAAAGTTATAAATTGATTTATAAGGATATGTCAAAAGGTTTGCAAAAACGCTGAAAATGTGCCGGTAGAGAAAGGGTTAAATTCAAAATGAACCGTTGTGAAATGAGTTTTAATCAGCGATTGTGCATACCAAACCAAAGCCAAACTTAAACATATTCTGAAAACTGGTCAGCAGACTTTAATTACATACCTATTATGATTAGAAATTATATTACATTTCTTTATTTTAATTGATCTTCAACTACATGTGTATTTATATATTTTTTGTTTTAAGACATTTATAAAAGTTTTCGTAAACATTTAATTACATTCCTTTACAGGTAAAAGTTTGCTTTTATTCTTGCTTTTTTATGTAAATTCGGATATTGTACTTCAACCTGTAAAATTGCCAATGAATTACATGAAATATCAATCAATCAACTATCACTTCCTCTTTTCTGGTACCCCGCGTTAAGGAAGAGTCAATCCATCTTTCCTCAAGGAAAATTAACACGATAACATGATGTTTTTGTGAAACACTGATGTCCATGTATGGCATTTGATGGCAAACGTTGAAGTTTCTCAAATGTAAGTAAAACTCCAAGGTCAAGGTAAAAAGGTTAAATTGTTGATATCAAAAGGAGGCTTTTGTCACAAGGAATACTGCTGTTATGAATGAATGCCCTATAGTCCTATCTGTTCAAGCGTTATTGACAAGGTTGAAGTTTTTCTGAAAAGTGGATCAAACTGTAAAGTCAAGATCAGAAATATTTATACCTGTTGAAATGTTTTGTAACAATTAATACTCCTGTGAAATTAAATGCCCTAGCATCAAATGTTCAAGTTATTTCCAATGCTTAAGCTTTTGTAGACAAACAAACAGCTAGGCAGACAAACGAACAGAACAAAAAGTATATACCCTCGTATCCTTGATAACAAGGGCATAAAAATAGTGTAAATACCTTATGTGGTCAAAAGAACATTGTTTCTATTGGAAAGTAGAGTATTAAGTAGACAAATGACTTTTCATGTAATCACATTTACATTTTTTTAACATAAAAATACTTTCTTTACAGTTTTTTCTTCTTTAATACACCTAATACAAACTTGTAAAGACAATTAATTTTATTATGTACATGAATATGAAAATTATTAATAGCATGTATAGCCAAATGGAGAACGGCCTAATATTACATGTAGTAGACATGATAATATCAGCTGATCATGTCAATCTGTCTGTTTGTTGATTTCTCGAGAATTTTCACTCATATCGAGACGCAACCACTTTCAATTGGAGGGCCGCAAATTTATGTCTTTACTAAACACTCATTGCCGTTGAACAGTAAGAGATCTACTGCGACACGGGGTCTCAGTTTATACGGTCCCACCCGATGGACCGGATTCCTCGTCTTGCAGTGAATGTGAATCCACGACTCTAGAACAGACGCTTCAACCATAGCGCCACGCGGGCGACCACGACCAACTTGGTCCTAGATCATGTACGCAAATTATGTATATTGCACAAAAAAAATGCCATACTTAAGCCGTCCCTAATTAAAAAGCTTTTATAAATTTGCATTAGTAGACTGTTGTTGTATGCTAATTAAGAGTTTCAGTCTGAAGAGAAAGGAACATTGAGATATGAAGTTCTTCCGATACCAGGAATAACTTGACAGATTGTCCAAAGATAGAAAGAAAAAGAAGCGAATAAAATATTACACCATATTCACTCAAAAGAATAAAGTGAAAATATGATAATTAAATTTCATTTCACGTTTTGCCTCAGTGTACATACATATAATTATGATGATTTTGTCTTAGGCGAGATATCCTTGAGAAAGAGGAAACAGAGAAATCAAATTCAGGAGGAAGGACATGGATAAAACGATACAGAGACAGGATCAGACGTGTCTCAAGATAGTGGAGAAACTGACCAGTCCACAACTGAACCTCGACGAAAAAGAAGAGCTCCAGGAAAACTGGTAGCTGTCAGGAAAAGTTACTCCCCATGTACCACCAGGTGGCGATACACTTCGCTGACCTCCATGACACTCAATCATCTTCTTTTAATAAGGCTGAGAATCATAATCTTGATAGATGTATAAGAATTAAATTGCCTTCCTTTAATTGATAAAAGCATAATATGTATGCAATGCTTTTTACTTAAAAAATCACTCTTTTTCGGTTGACAGCTTGTTTCAAAACAATGCAGAGGTTGCCACGGATTCCATCGTCCACATCATACAACACATGACCTTAAGTCAAAGGTCAGAGGTCTTCAGACTACTGGCCAACATGGACACATGACGAGTATGACAATTAGAATTTTGTTATTTTATTTAGTTCAATATTCTACATATATATATAAAGGTTTGCCAATGTTTAAAGAAGACTATTTTTGTATTCATAAATAATCTCATTTTCAATGTTGAATAACAATGAT